GGGGGAAAAAGCCACTCCCTGGCAGGGGCCTGGGACCTGGCCAGGTGGGGTGGGGGGTGCATAGGCCTTGGGGACCGCCATGTCCTGTCATCCCTTTTTCTGGATTCCCTTGTGAGCCTGGGAGCTCAGAACTCGCCTGGAGTGGGGTGGGTCCTTCTGGGCTCAGAGCCGGCCACTGCCCTGAGGGAGTGCCTTTCTCTCCAGAGTGCCCGGTCCACACCCTCCAGCAGCACGGCCAGCTCCCGCCCAGCGTCCCTGGGGTACAGCGGAGCTGCCGGGCCCCGGCCCATCACCCAGAGCGAGCTGGCCACAGCCCTGGCCCTGGCCAGCACCCCGGAGAGCAGCTCTCACACGCCAACACCAGGCACGCAGGTACAGAGGGGGCCGGGTCCCCAGGGAGAAGCCATTGCCCACTCTGGAGCCATATCTGGTGTGAGCCGAGCCCTGGAGCCCTCTGCATGCGCCCCGCCTCTCACTCACCTTCAGGGCTCGGTGTCCAGTCTTGGGCACGGTCCTGATTCATGGCTCCTGGTAGCTCAGCAGAACCCCCCGTCCCCTAATGTGCCCGTCTCACCCCCGACAGGCCAGGCCTCGTTGGCTTGAGCATTCCTGGTGGCAGGTCCCTACGGCGTTCCAGGGCGGGAGTCCCAGCCTGTGTGGGGCCTGCAGTCCATGGCACTGACCACCGCTTTGTCTCTAGGGCCATTCCTCGGGGACCTCGCCGATGTCCTCTGGGGTCCAGTCAGGGACCCCCATAACCAATGACCTCTTCAGCCAAGCCCTGCAGCACGCTCTGCAGGCGTCTGGACAGCCCAGCCTCCAGGTCAGGCCGCCCTCCCCTTCCCCTTCTTGCTTTCTCTGCGGCTTCCCATTCCCCAGGGTGTGGGCCTCTTCCTGTGCTCCAGGGGTCTTCCCACTGGCACACCATGCTCTAGGGACAGACAGGGTATGGCAGTGCAATGGGAGGGCTGTTCCAAGGACCATTCCCTGTGGCTTCTGCTGCTGGCTCTGGTGGCCAGGCCTGACTCCTGACCCCTGACCCGGATGATTACAGATTATGTCCTGTTTAGCCAAGTGACCATTCACTCATTCAGTGCATGTTGGCGGAGCCTCGAGCACGCAGCCCAGCGTCTGAGGCTCAGGGCTAGCCAGTCCCCCTCCATGTCACAGGGAGCACCAGGCGAGAAGCCCAGTCGTTGTCGTGGGGCCTAGGTCGGGCTGTCTGAGGAAGAGGGTGTCAGCAGATTGTCCAATACTCAGTTAGAGGTTGGCCAGGTAGGGAAGGGCATTTGAGGTGTAGGCAGGGCTGCTTTTCAGGCAGGGGCTTCTCCCTGTCTGAGCAGCGTGTCAAGGTCTATGGAGCGCACTCCAAACCCTGAGGCCAGAACGCCATCGCCTGGCACAGACCACCCTGAGGCAGAGCCAGAGAAAGGGCAGGAGCCTGAGTCTGAGGGGCGCTGAACACGGCCAGGAGGTGGGGCTCGCCATAGGGCACTAGGGCGCTGCAGGTCCCCCAGTAGCCTGGGGAAGAGCCGGGGACCAGCGCTCTGTTGCAGGCCTCTGCCACAGGCCTCTGCTTCCTGCCTATCTCCCTCCCTCCTCGCCATGAGCCTGGGAGGTGAGCACCATCCCTGGAGCTTGCTGGGTGTGAGGTCATACATGGTAGAGATGGGTCCGAGTCTGTGCGTGTTTCCTCGCCTTGTGGCCGTGGTGGACAGCGAGGGCACAGGAGCAGGCTGTGTGGACAGCCCGTCCTCCCTGCCCCTCATCCTCCCCGCCGGATGCCTGTCCCTTTGTGTCCACCCAAGAGCACTCCCTGGCTTATGCCCTGAGGCAAGTTGATTCCTGCGGTTTTTGAAAGCCCTCCACACCTCACCCCTGCTGTCTGAATGTGCACTTCCTGCCCTGCCCTCCCTTATTCCCGGAGCACATTGTTCCCCGAATTGTGAGTTGCGGCACCTCGCTCCTTGCACAGAAGTCCTGGGAGGAAATGGGGGCGAATTTCTTTACAGCCTGTCATTGAGGAAGCCTTTCATGGCTGAAAGGAGCCATTAATCCAGGAGCCATTAAGCGAAAGGGTTGTAAAGTGAAAAATTCTGTGTGGCAGCGAGCGGAAAACAAAGTCTGAGAACTACAGAAAACAAGCTGGGGAAACCCTGGCCACAGCAGAAGCCCACTGATGCGCCCAGGGTCTAGAAATGTAAGGCTCCTGACTTCCAGGGAAGCGGGCAAAGGACTGGAGAAGTAGGGGTGGCCCTGAAGCCCAGCAACCCTGGGTGCTCACCTGGGGCACACATGCCCGTGGCAGTGACGTGTGCACTGGGTCACCCGGGCTGTGTTTGGAGCGGCAGAATCAGAAACAGCCCAGTTACGGTCCACTGCAGGGCGTCCTTGGGTGGGATAGGACGGGATCCCTGAAAAGCCTTTTGTGTACAGCAGAAGGTCTCTAGGATACGCTGGTTATGTTTTTTTAAAATAAAGTGGCTGGGGTGGGTATGCAAAGGGGGGTAAGAAAGAGTAGTATAGGGATTTGCATTTTCTCAGAGAAGGGGTGGAGGGGCAGGAGAGGAGGACTTCCCATAGATACCGTGTTTAAAGCAGTTTGGGTCAGCCAGGTGGCACGGAGGTTAAGGCTGCTGGATCCCGCGTGGCCGACTGTGCGGTGTAAGTCTTGGACCCAGCGGCCTGGAAAACACACTGGGCCCGTGCATGCCCGGATCTGGAGAGGACGGGAGGGAAGGGACTGCTGCACGGCTGTCCCCTAGGGGGCGATCTCCCCCTTTCCCGCTCTCTGGTGAGTGCACACGCACATGTACTGTAGCAAACTGAAGAAAAGAAACCCAGCTAGTTTATGTTATCTTTTGTTTACAAGAAGGCGTGTGTGCTTGCCAGCAAGGGTCAGAGACAGAGGGAGAGGGAGAAAGCGGAGGAGGGCATGGTCGTGTCGCAGTCCCCTTCCACATCTCTAGCCTGTCAAGATTTGGGCCACATACGCAAAAATGCCTAGCATGTTTTTCAAGCCTCTGGGGCTGGGATTTGAACCATAGTCAGCCATGTGGGATCGACTTCCTTAACCACCAGGGCACGGGCTGTCCCAAAGCTAATTTAAAATGTCTCCCTCTTGTAACAATTCATGTGTGTGTGTACACGTGCGTGCCCACGTGGTACGTGTGTGTACACGTGTGTGCAGTACATGTATGTACACACGCATGCGCACATGTAGCAGGAGCAAGGGTAATTGACTCTTTCGGAACTTAGATGTTGACTAGCCCTTACGCTAAAAGTGGCCCTTTTTCTTGTAAACGTTGCACTCGTTCTCCCGACCCGGAAGCCCACCCTTTAGTCCTCCCAGCGGCCCGTGCTCTGTGGAGTTGAGCTTCAGCAACGGCTCCGGGACCCCATCTCCATCCTTTCCCCCGGAAGCACAGAGCTAAGAGGGTCTCTGTGAGGCCCGGCTCACAGCCCTGCCGCCCTGTCCCCGCAGAGCCAGCGGCAGCGCCCGCGCGA